ATTCCCATTCTGGGGGAAATTGGGGGTGAATTTGTACTCACTGGGAATATGTGTTAAGGTGTAATTTCACCTTTTTCTTTGCATTTCAGTCCTCATGAAATGTTTTGCTTTTAAAATGCATATTCTTTGCCTGATACCGAGATAGGAATTCAAGTCAACTGAAGGATACAACTTCTAAAATACCTCATGTGGAAACCTGTAGTTCTTGGGAGTACAGAGTCAAGTGCAGCAAAAACAGCACTGGTGGGACAGTGAGATACAGTGGGAAAAGTACTGGATTTGCGAACAGAAGACTTGGGTTTGAATCCTGACTGCTTTATTACCTGTGTGACCTTAGGCAAATTTCTTCACCTCTTTGGGCATCATCAGTATAATGGTGGCAGAGGGGAGAGGTGGGGAGAACATTCATCTCAAAGTTCTTTCCAGTTCTTAATCCTGTGATCCTAAGAAAAGGCACAAGTGAAGCTATCTTTAAATGAGCTTCTATTATTATCTCAGTATTTGCCAGAACACCACAGTACTTAAGTCACTGCCTTTTGCTGGGGCCTGGGAAACTAGCTTTCTACAGAACTTTGCAGGGAATAGTCATAACATGCCACTGCCTTATCTTCTATAGGTGGATTTTTCCAACACAGTGCTTGTTTAGATGAAAAAGAACTTAAATTATGCACGTATTAGATTTTTGCTTTTGGCGATGGCATGGATTGTCCAAAAGTAGCGAGTCACACTTTAGTTTTTGCTCCTGTAATAACAGGCACTGTACTAATAACTTCTGAGAACACAGAGCTTTATAATTAACAAGGCCCTTCACGGTTTACAGAACACTTTGAATAAGAGAAGTACACCTGGAGAAACACCGGCCTGGAACACAGGAGACGTGTATTCTAGCCCTGGTTCTGCCACTAACACACTAGGTTGCCTTGACCAAGTGCCTTTTCCTCTCTCTGGGCTTGCTTCCCATACCTGTCAAATGTGGTGGTTGAAGACAGACTATTAGATTATGTCACAAGGACACGTGACATAAGGGGTCTGGTGTATGGTTGGCAGGTTCTTTTGGTGGACATTCTATGGCTCTAGGGGGTCCACGGTCCTTTCCAGCTCTGATTCTCAGCTCAGGCCCTAGGACTCTAAGGTCCCTTCTAGCTTGGACATGCTGGTCCTCCCCAACTCTTTCACTCTGGATTCTCACTCTAAGGCAGCCAGGGAAGACTGTCATCTTCACTGTAGCTAGATACCTGCATTTCTTTGTTGTTACAAAAGTGAAAGTGAAGTTAATATCTATAAAAACAACCAAAAATAAGAAACGGAAAACACAGAATTATTAATTTATTTTTTTAAAGCCTAGATCACAGAATAATTTCCACCAAATGGAAACATGTGGGTAAAGCCAAAATGAAAAATATAACATTTGTAACCACTAACAAATATTTAAAAATTCAAGTACTGATAAAACCAAAATTAAGTCCTAAAAGCTGAATATGGTTATTTATGATGCTACAGAAAATTGAGAGGAAGATTTTCTTTTAAAAAGAAATGATATTAAAAAAATTTTTTGTGACATATAGACATCAGGGTCAATTCAAAATGACCTTGAAATTATTTGCCTCTGCTTATCTGTGGCATCAGGTAACATTAAAATGTGTGCTTAGCTCAAATATTTATAATTCAGGAAAAGATCAAAGCCAGAGTACCTCCTCATTTCCTACCAATTCCATCAGCACATTTATACCTCTAGTAATAAACAGAATTGACACTAAAGAATCAAGTTAACGTTTGGCATTAAGACATGACCATTATTTTTTAAAAGATGATCTGATCGATTTTGATTTCAGTAATCAGATTTATGTATTCAGTTGCTAAAAACATCCTACCAACAAAAACTCTGTAAGATGAAAAAGATATTGGGAGAAGTATGCTGGAATATAGATCCTTTACAGAAGAGAAATCTGAGATGTAGAAAAAAGCGATTCTCCCAAGGTCACACAAGGATGAAGGGTCAGAGCCAAAATTAGAATTTCCCTAACTCTCAGCTTAGTGCTTTCCTTATTATACCGTATGGCCTTTTCTCAACACCAGATGACCTCAACACAGATGACAAGGGCATACAAATTCAGCAGAGGTTGGGCCAAATTTTAAAGGTGATGGAACATATCTGCAAGGAGCTCTCTGCTCAATAAAGCTCCAGAACCCCTGGCCAGGACAGTCAAGGAGTATGACATTTTCTAAACCAGATACCTTTAACTCCAAACTTCAAAGGGCCCTGACAATAAGCTTCAACCTGTTGTGAAACTGGAGACATTTTCTTTCTTTTGTGAATTCAAGTCAGATGTCTTGAATTTTTCAACATATGTTCTGTAATCTTCTTCTTGAGAGGAACACAATATTTATATGAAAACTTTCAATGGGCCAGTTCCAGAGTACTGGAACTCTTCATTCTTACTTTCCAGGGGTTCGTACTGAAAGCCCAATGATGCCTTATTCGGCAGAACTGCTTGTCAAGTATTAATCAGCACTGGGCTCACCGCAGGGATGATTTAAGTCAATAGGATAAAATAGCTTCTTTTACTAGGTCAACATGCATGTTGCTGTCACAGCAGCATGGAGATCACAGGCTATTAAGCAAACTTAATGGATTAAAGAGCTGTGTAGAGGCATGCAGGTGACCCAGGCTTTTCAAATACTATGCTAATGGAAGCCCTGGCAGCTGTTAATAGGCTGGAATGGTTTCAACTGCAGGTAACAGATCTGTTTGTCTGCTGTTTAGTTCAGAAAGGCTCATCAAGCAGCAGCTGGATTAAATGGCTATTGGGTAATGAATTTTTCAGCTACACCAATTCTCCAATACCAAACTAAGGGGTAAAAGGACTGTGATTTCCATTACTCAGAGGAGGACCCACTTGAGAAAATCACATGTCCTTAAAATATTTAATATAGAGTAGATTAAGATAACATAAAACACATGATGGGAAGCAGCAAGATGTGATAGAAAATAGAAAAATGCTGATTTGTAAATCTGGATACTTGTGTCTTCTCCTGGCTCTGCCACCAACATATTGCTTGACCTTGAGCAAGTCTTCTTTGGACCTCAGTTTCCTCATTTATGAAAGAGGAGACTGGACTAGATCTCTAAGGTCCTTTCCAGCTCTGACACTCTAATGAATATCGATTGACCTGAATATTTTGAAGAAAAATGTGATTTCTCAGTTACATTTTAAAAATAAAATAACCATTTTTATTTTTTCTGCCTAAAGATAAATATTTAACTACTTCTTTTAATTAAAAAAAAAGAAAAAACAAGTAAAACAAACAAAAAAGTCCCTCCCCCAAAACCATTTCTTGGTCTTAAGATGCAAACCTTAGCAGAGAATAAAAATGCAAAGTCCTCAAACCTCTCAAGATTTGAATCATGTGATCATGTCTTTTCATACTTTCACAGCTAAAAACACTCCTTTTCCACTGCCCTTCATATACATCCTATTCCTTCACACCTGCCAACCATTTGCTCCCCACCTTAAAGTGGAATTTAACAACTACTAATTCTACACTGAGAACAAATCTGTGTAAATTTAAAGCAAGGGCTATATGTTTACCTCCCACATTTAACATTTACCTCAAAAAAATCTTTCCTTCCTTAAAATCTACTTGCCCTTTTCCGGGCCACAGAGGAAAAGAGGCCAGAGGAATATGCTCATGCTGAGATGTCAGTCACTGAAAGAGCTGGGAAGCTCAATTCCTCTGCTATCTGCATATTGGCTGGGGTATGGGAGGGTCTTAAAAAGCCCTGCAGACAGGTGGCAAGTGCAATGGGATGGTGACAGAAATTAGTGTAGTCAGAAAACAGTTAATATCTTCTGCAATGTGCTTACAATCTTGAGTGGTTTTACAGGATGAGACTGCTGATTACTGTAGTCTTCACTACACGGTTGAGCCCAAAGTGTAATTTTAAAGCAATGTGATTAGTTTAACTAACAGACCAGAATTTATACAAATGTGTTTCCCCTTTTCAAAGTAGTCATCCTCCGACAGAGGTACACTCATGGCTACCATTTTGCCCTTGTTTAAAACACAGGAGGCTCAGAGTTGAAAGGCACCTTAAAGGCAATTCTAGAAACCTCTTTTAGGACATTTAGGGCTAGTTTAACCAGCCACAGAAGAAAACCACTCATTATTTTAGAATCACAGCTTGTTTGGAACCTAAAACTGAACCAACCAGCAGTATCACCCACTTCATTTGCTAGACATGGCTCTCAATGTTTCAAAAATTCCAATTTTTGGAATTTCAAGGGTAAAGATGTGCTAACAAATGAAAATGTTCAAAAGACTAGGAGGTAACCTCTAGAGAGGAGTTCCAGAAATACTTTGAACAGTAATAGTTTCATTTGGAAGTATACATTCTTTTACATTTATTAAAAAAAAGAACCTCACAACTTTTTAATTACAGTATAGTCACACTTCAAACCTTTGTTTCAAAGGATATGAATTTCAAAATAAGTACTAAGTATTTCTTTAAAACCTTGCCAACCAACACAATGTCTGATCAGCATGTGGATATATACACTGGGGATAGTTAATGTTATGATGGCTTAATTACCTCAGAATTACCTGAGAATGCCAATTACTTTAAAAGAATGTATTGGGCAAATATGGTGCAATGAATTATAGAGCCTGAGTATCAGCTCAAAACATGCTGACCCCCAAACTGTGAACTCAGGAATTAAAGTAACCATAATCCTTATCTCTATCAGGAAAAAAGTCATGTGGAGCAAAAGCAAGCTGAGACCTGTGAGTTCCGTGGGCCACACCTCTGCCTTAAAGTAATTCTTCCGCAATCTGTCCCAGTTCAGGTAAATTACATTAATTGCTCAGATTGTTGTGGGAGAGAATACAAAAACGACTCTCAATGGAAAAACTTCTGAAGGCCTTTTTGTTACATTTCAAAAATTTTTTTTAATCATCCACATAAGTTGAGTTTGTCAGTCACTTCCATATGATATAATGATGTTCGAGGTAAACAGGATGTCACAGTCACACCAGAGTCTGAACCTGATGACCAGCCTGGGACCTGATGAAGGCAGACACAGGTGTGCTTCTAATTGTTCTTCACCTGTTTGAATCCAAGCCTCCTCCAAATCCTCTCTAAGGCCACTCTTCCCATGAACAAGGTGATAGTAAAATTACGTCTGTACCAGTCTCTATATTTCACCACAAGAAAAAGAACAAGGAACATTATATATATACATATAATAGTAGCTTATGATTAATATTCTAAGCATCAGAGAAAACACAGCACCAAAACTCAAAAGAGTTCAGCTTACTATCCTCCTTTGTTAATAATTTTCCCCTTTCCCTAAACTGCCCAAAACATTAAATATTTATTACAACTAAACAGTAGGAAGGAAATGAAGGTATTTATCATTAAAGAGACCTTTTTTTAAATTATCTAATATCCAAAAATCATGTACATAATTACAGGGAATCACAGAATTTCACAGCTAGAAGTAGCTGTACTAGAATCCTTAATAGAATATCCAGCTTCCACCTGAACACCTCCAGTAATGGGAACCGACTACCTGCAGGGGCAGCATTTCTTACTCTGAAGCAGAGATCCGCCTTTTAGCCTTTCTTGACTCATATGGAGTTTGCAGTGCACTAAACCTCCAGGCCTTTGTCCAATGAACTATTGTCTGTTTAGCCCTGTATTCTCCATCCTGCATTTATGCTGTTGAGTTTTTAAACTCTAAATGCAGGATTTTACATTTACCTTTATTAAATTTCATTTTATTAGACTTGGTCCATCATTCTCCTGAGAACTTTGTTAGCTTTCAAAATGAAGCAGGATTAAGCCACTTGTCCAACTATTTTTGCTTATTCTGGTGATGTAAGCTCCATTCCTGACTTGGGTTTCCAGGAAAAAAGGAACATTTGTGGCCTCTGGAGGAAATGCAGAAATTAGATGGATTTTCTATACACTTTAGAAAGCTTTGTCTGGGGAAAAAGACTCTGGAGATGAATGACAAGGGGTATGTTGAATAGGCAATGAAGTGCCAGGACAAGCTCTGTGGGAGCTGATGGGGGCCTGCACTGTATGCATCCACAATGCCTGATTCTGGCACCCTATTTACAGAAGCAGCACATTTCATACTCAAAGGAGAAAAAGACAGGCTCCACCTCCTCACCAATAATGGCCAGAAAAGTGGTTAGATCCATTTATCACTAATGCTGACCTGAGAAAGATTATAGAGGTCCTCTGTTCTCATTTACTGGTCCTCAATTTTATGAGTTTTTCTTCCATTTTATTTTCATTCCCCAAAAGACAATCTTCAAATTGCCTAAATACAAATACTGCTGCAGTTCGTGCATAATCATAGTCTTACTTGACTTAAAATAACCCTCAAGAATATGCTGAAACTTGCATTTATCATTACTATAGTTAGTTCCCAATTCAACTGGTAATGCTCATATAGAATCCATAGTTCAAGGCAAGGGTCCCATATTCTGAAAGCTAAGCCTCTCAGAGCCAGAATGCTAATAAGTATGTAGGTCATGCCATTACTTTCAGCCAAATGAGCTGATGAGTGAACACAGGACTTCTGTTCTGGAACAGGCTCAGAGTACTTTATCAGCACTTGGGACAGGAGGAGGAAATAACAAACAAGGGCTCAAACACAAAGCAAAGAGACGGCAAGCAGATGATGTGAAACAACACATTACATAAAGCCTCTCATAGTTACTCTGAAAACTACACAACCACCCACTGCACATGAGAACAATATTTAAATTTCTATTACTTCAGGGGAGGGCCTGGGAACCTAACTACAACTTGTAACATCATTTCTATGAGAAAATGTGCTCTGAATTCTAAACAACTGATGTGTAAACTTCTGGAACATGTTGTAGTGAAAAGCACATGGGGCTAAGAAATTGAAAACCTGGGCTGTGTCATTCACTCACTATGTGACCCTCGGCAAGTAGCTTCCTCTCTCTAAGATTCAATTTCTTCCTCTATAACAGGAAAGGATTGGATAACATGGGCTCTAAGGCTCTACCTGTTGGGACATTTTATGTCCTAAGGTCCCTGCCAGTTCTAACATTCTAGAATTCTGTAAATTTGTGAATTTATTTATGGATGACCATTCAAAGGGAAAGCAGTGCCTTAATGAAAATCAGTATGAGAAGACACTAAGTATTTTGTCTAGGTTTTATTTAGAATAAGTCTATGACACATGAGACTACCATATACTAACTTCTACATCACTCTTCATCAGAAGATCTTAAAAATGTAAAATGTGAAGTTATGCAATTGTGGCTAAGACTCCATCGCCAATATTCCCTCTCACTTCATGTACATAAGTTATAAGTAGACAACAGTATTACATTATTAACAAACTATAAAAACTAAGCACACATGGATGAGGATTCATATGGTAATAAAAAAGGCAAGTTATTTAATAAAATTCATAAGCATTATTGTGTTGCATTGCAAGGTCATTAGGCATAATTACATGTAGCTCACATAAATGACTATGATTAATGAAGTCTGACTTGAATTCACAAAAAGAATTCCACCAACTTCACAGTGAGTTGTGAGGGTTAACAGCAAAGCTTCACTCTCCTATGTACGATGTGAACCAATAGACATATCCCTCAGCATCTGCAGACACAAGAACATTTTCCTTCTTTTGCTAGAGAATAGGAGAGAGTAGGAAAGTACTAGGCCTCTAAAAAAGAATGTTACCAAGTGGGTAAAAAGACAAAGAAGAGAAGGCTGTGGACTTCACCCACTTCACAACTTTGCTTAAGGTTGGCTGTATTTACTTTCAACTCTACTCTCTCTCTCTCTCTCTCTTTTTTTTTTTTCCAATTCTACTTTCCACAAAAGCTTTGTCCAGAAAGATTTTAGGTCATGTAGGATGGCAGTCACGCTAGAGACCTATAGAGAATACTGTTATGTGCACAAATCAGAAGCTGAGGACAGAAATTAAGTGTAACAGGTATTTGTTTGACTAAAAACCTAATTCAAAGTACTAAATCAGCATTTAGAAATACATTTTAGGAATTTAGTGTGGTAGAAAGAAAATTTATTTCCATCTGAAATCAGAAGCACCAGGCCAAATCCTGGCTTTGCTACTTTGGCCAAGTCATTTCACCTATAGAGGCCTCAGTTTCCTTATCTATAAAACTAAAGAATTGGGATGGAATATTCCTAAAATGCTTTCTTATCTGATACTTTTCAGACCTTTAATCTTTTTGTTAGACCATGAAGAAGGTCAAAGTAAGACTATTTAAACTAATCATTTCATTTAAAAATTCTGGTAAGTAGGTTGGTGGTAGGAATGTGTGCCTCTTGCATAAAGATGAGAATATTAAAAAGACTATTGATGTGAACTAATATTCAATCATAAACCATTTGGATTTAGTATTCCTCAGCTGTGTTAGAATAAAAAGGATACACCTACCTGTTATAGTACATATGCTTCTCAAAATTTTTACTTAAGAATTCCTTGTAAAAATCAGCCATTTCTTCTGCATTCAGTGTTATTTTTTTACCTAAAAGTTAATTTAGACGTAAAACAATGGTACAGATTTAGGGAGAAAAAGATTTTGCTACTGTAACTGGGGTGCAGAGTTCAGTTTTGCTTCAAGTCATTTAAAGAATTATAAGGAAAATATATAACTTCAGATTTATATCTCTATCACATAAACTTTTTTACTTTTTAAACAACATAAAATAAGAAATGCAAAACCATTATGAGAAAGTACAGTCACTAGATGAGACTCTTCCCTTTCAGGCATCCTAGTCCAAAATTCAATCTCGTGTACGCACAAGATTGTGTACATATCATACAGCTTTTTTATCTTACTAGAAATAACTGTGGTTTCAGGCTATTTCTTTTCTTTTTGCAGGGCAGCTGGGGTTAAATGACTTGCCCTGGGTCACACATTTAGTAAGTGTCAAGTGCCTGGTCTGAGACTGGATTTGAACTCAGGTCCTCCTGACTTCAGGGCCGGTGCTCTATCCACTGCACCACCTAGCTGCCCCTCAGGTTATTTCTCAGGGGAGAGGTTATTATATTACATCAAAATGACTTCCTAGTTGCCAATCCTTATTGGCAGCTTTATTAAACACCTCTAAAGCTGAAGGGACCTGGAAATATTTTTATCTTTTATTCATAGTAGAATTCCATTAGAATAGCATTAAGATACACTGAGTAGGAAGAGTAGTTGTTTTAGGATATTGAGGCTATATATCTGTGTGTGTGGATATGTATACGTGTGTGTGTATACATATATGACACATATATACATACATATGCATGTGTATGTATGTGTGTGTATATATATATATCCTAAAACTATTACATATATTTAAAAAACTCTAGAACTGGAGTTGGCAAACCATGGCTCTTGAACCAAAGCTTGTGGCCTACAAAAACAGATGAGTTTAAAATGGTTTTTACATTTTTAAATAAAGTTTTATTGTATTTAAAAATGCAAAAACCATTCTTAGTTCATGGGCCGCACAAGAGGCAGATAATGGATTGTAGTTTCCCAACCTCTGTCAAGAGCCACACAAAGGGTTCTAAAGATAATAATTAAAGTGGACATATACTTTTCTATCTTTGATATCTTTCTATTTACATCTAGTTCAGTGCTCTTCAAAGGCCAGGTGCTGTTGTTGGACAAGGTCTGTATTGGTTTGTTGGGGGGGGGGTAGTATATGGGGAAATGACAGTACTGTAGGAACAGTAAGCATAATAAAACTTAAAAAAAAAATAAGATTAGAAAGGCAGGTTGGAATCACATCCTCGAAGGTCCTATATAACAGACAATGTGTATTTTATCTTAGAGAAAATAGGGAGATACTGAAGATGTGGGCTGCTTAATTTGGTAGGATTTCCAGCCAAGATGGCTGCTGGAATGGCCATACCTACACCAGGATAAAACCTAAAAATTGAACCAGATGAAATAATGATCAAGAAATCCAATGAGAAATTACAATGCTTTTTATTCTAGAACTTCACAAGAAGTCAGCCAGTAGCCCATGAGCAACAGAAAGGAGGCCAGTGGTAAAGCTGACACCAGCTCCAACACAGGCAAACAAGCCAGAAGTTTCCCAGTCAGATAAGAGACTGTCCAGAGACACCCATAGAATGCAAGGGTCTGTATCCTGAAATATCAAGAGTAGAGGATTCTCCAGAGAAAGCCCAAGAGAGGCTGGAAACCCACATCGTGGACCCTGGCTGCCTGGAATGTCAGTGACCAATGCAGTCATGACAGCACTCAGACCAGGCCAACCCAGGTGCAGGTAATCAGAAGTCTCTAGCATTCTGTCCTATCAAAGGGCCCTAAAGATCCAGAGCTCTGAACAACAAATCTGAATCAGGAAACACTACGTGAAGCTTTAATTCAGGAACTGAGGCTGTAGAGATAAGTAACCTCAAGAAGATAAAGATCACTATACAGGCACTACCTGAATGAAAATCTAGCAAAGGAGACTGAAGAGTGGCGAGATAAGTAGGAAGAGAACCAGGAAAGAGCAATGTCAACAAAAACCTAGAGAAAAGAGGGTATTAAGGGTAAAAGGATGACTGACAGTGTTAAAGGCTGCAAAGAGGTCAAGAAAGAAGGAGACTGCCATCTTGGGGAGGGAGGAGGAAAAGGAACTTGAAATCTTATGAAAGTGAATGTTGAAAACTAAAAATAAGTAATTTTTAAAAAAAAGGGACTGAGAAAAGGCCAATAGATTTGGCAATTAAGAGATTACTAGTAACTTTGGAGAGAGCAGTTTCAGTTGAAAGATGAACTTGGAAGCCAGACTGCAGAGAATAAAGAAGGAAGTAGAGGCATCAATCGTAGATAATCTTCTCGAGAAACTCAGCCACAAAAGTGAGGAAAGATATAACACAATAAGGGCAGCTAGGTGGCACAGTGAATAGAGCTCTGGCCTTGGAGACAGGAGGATCTGAGTTCAAATCCAGCCTCAGACACATTAACATACACTAGCTGTGTGACTCTGGGAAAGTCACTTAACCCTCACTGCCTCACCAAAAAAGCAAAAGATATAACACAATAGTTAACAGGGGTGGACAGATGAAGTGAGGGTTTTTTGAAGAAAGGGGAGACATGTGCATGTTTGTAGGCATTAGGGAAAAAGCCAATAGACAAGGAGAGATTGAAGATGAGTGAGAGAGTGGGGGTGATAGAGGAGGTAAATCTGCTGGAAAAGATGAAGAGGAATGAAATCATTTGTGTACCTAGAGGGGTTAGCTGTGGAAAAGAGATGGGAGACAGGGCTTAAGGAGGAGATAGTGGCAGAAGGCATCTTAGTGACACGAGATGAGGAAGAGGGGAGAAGAGAGAGCTCACAGTGAATAGCCTCAATTTTTTTTCAGTGAAATATGATATAGGGTTCTCAGCTGAGAGGGTGGAAGGAGAGGAAGCTTGAGGATGGGTGAAAAGGTTTAGAAAAGTTGTTGTGGTGAGTTCTTTGCCACTGACAATCATATGACAATGTATGAAATCACCAAAAACAAGATGCAAATAGAATATCTGAGTGGCAAAGAAATAAAAAGACAAACTGGTAAATGCCAGAGGAGCTATGGGATGACAGGAACAGTAATGCAGTCGGTACAGTTGTGAATCAATTCAACTGCTTTGAAAAACAATTTGAAATTATGCCCTTTGTATAAACCCTTTGACCCAGCAATCTCACTCCTAAGAGGCAAAGATTCACATACACAAAAAGATTTGTAGCAGTACTTTTCATAGTGGCAAAGAACTAGAACCCAATAGATGTCTCTACCAACTGGAGAACAGCTGATCAAATTGTGGTACATCATTGTGTTGTGACAAATGATATATATACAAAGAATTCAGAGAAATTTGGGAAGATGTAAAGATTGAAGCAGAATGAAGTAAGCAGAACCAATAATTTACATGACTACTATAATAAAGAAAAGGAAAATGATACTGAACTGAAAGACTTCAACTCTGATCAATGTAGCTGCCAATCATGACTTCAAAAGACTGATAGTGAAGCTTTTGGACTAGAGATGCAGAATGAGGCACTTATTTTTAGATATGATGTATTATGTTTGATTGTACTGGTTACAAGGGAGCATTTGGAGGGAACGATCAGGAGGAAGTGACAGTAATATTTAAAAAAAAACACCAACAAAAGATTTTTTTTTTGGCTAGGCAATGGGGTTAAGTGACTCGCCCAGGGTCACACAGCTAGTAAATGTCAAGTGTTTGGTCTGAGGCCGGATTTGAACTCAGGTCCTCCTGACTTCAGTCAAAAGATTTTTTAAAAAAATAAATAGAATAACATCAGAACTCTGGTCAATGTAGTGCCCTTGAATTCAGAGGACTCAAATGTGCTTCTCTCCTCTCAACAGAGGTGGTGGACTTCCAGTGCAGAATAAGACATATGTTATTAGATGTGATCAATATGTTGGCTTGTTTTGTTCAGTTGTACTTCATTGGCCATGGATGAGGAACAGGGAGAATCAATGAGAATTTACACTAATGTCTATTAAGGTATCAATAAAAACATTAAAAATAAAAGTAAAATAAAGGGAGGAGCACTTCCAACAATTCCAGGGTTCTCCTCAACACAAGAACCTTAACTTCCATGGACCTTAGCTTCTTCACCTGTAAAATGAGAGTGCTGGACTAGCTCGCCTTTGAAGTCCCTTCCAGCTCTCTATCTATAAGCCTCTGATCAAAAATTTCTTTTAAACACCGTTACTCTGACAGTTATGCCAACATGACTATGAATTGTGAAACACCGTCGTCTCTCAAGTATCAATACTGTGGGGGATCTAACAGTTTGGGCATATGTAAATAAATAGCCCATAGCGTATAATCAAAGACGACTTGAGTACATGAAATGGCCTTTTTAAAAGAGATCAACTGGGCAATATATGATCAGAAAAGGTCATGTATTGAGAGCAAGGGAATAGCCTGCCTGTCATTCTGATATCTCCATAATGTTAAAAGACCTTAAGAAAGACCTCTACTACATTGAGTTTATAGGAAGACATGAACAAAGTTGCACAGGCTGAGAAAGTTTGGATAGATTACATTCTGAATCATTTGAGGGAAAGCCATCAAAGTATCCCTGAGCATAATCCTAAAGTGCCCTCCTAAAAATGCAAGTCACAAATAGTTGCCCTAGTGGACACAGCATTGAATTTAGAGTCAGGAAGACCTGGGTTCAAATCCTACCTCAGACATTTACTAGCTGGGGGACCCTGGGCAAGTCACTTGACTTCTTGTGGCCTTAGTAAAATCAGAATAACAGCTACAGCACTTACCTAACGGGACTGTTGTGAGGATCCCAAAATGTTGTAAAAGGCTTTGCAAACTTTGAAAGACTATACATTAGTATTATTAAAACGGCATCCTTATAACAGAAAAAAAGACCATTGAACTAACCTGTTTCATCTTTCAATCCCAGACCTCGAGCTTTCAATCTTGAGTGAATAAATTCTTCTTTTTCCTAAAAGACGATTATTGTCATTTTCTGGAATTGTATGACTTTGTCCTGGAAGACAATCATTTTATCACTGGCTCCAATATTTCTTCCCAGACTTAATTTTCCTCTATTTCCCTTCACGTATTGTTATATTGAAAGACGTGCCCACAGCCTGGCCAGGTGTGCCAGCACCCCAGGGTCACACTTCAGGTGGGCCTAGGCTAATACCCAGAATGGATGACTAGTCCTCTTCCTCTCTTTACCTAGTCTCTCCCACCTCTCACAATTAAGCAGACCATCCCTCACAACTAGAAGGCCCTTTCTCCTCATCTCCACCTGGTGAAATCCTGCTCTTTTACTTCAAGATGCTACTTGGGTGCCATGCCATCATCTCAAAAGAAGGGATCCCTTCCTCCCCAATCTCTCTCTGGTTGGTTTGTCCTATGCATTTATCACATTCTAACTTATAGTATAATTATTGGTGGATGTATCCTATCTCTTTACTATATTTTTAAGATCTTTAACATCAGGGATCATAGAGTTTTCATTTTTGTATTCACAATGTTTAGCATAGAGCCTTGCACAGAGTAAATGTCTAATAAATAAGTGATGAATTGCATGATACCAACTCAGAGCTAAGTCAACACACTAAAGGACTTGTACTGAATCTGCCTATATCTGGCAGTCTCATTCACTGCTTTCTATTTATTTAAACAGTTTTTATAACTGCTTTTCTTTCATAAATAATCATTTATACTTGGTAACGTAATGAAGATCATTAGAAATGTTAATAATCACCATAATGGGTTGCTAATTACTGGTTATTACTCATGCCATCTTATCCTAATTCTTCTTCCCCAATTCTCCATTGCTTCCTTCTCTTTTTCATTCTCCACATCTCCAAAGAGAATATAACACACAGAAATCTAAGAAGTTTGAGACCCAGATTTCCTGCCTATTCCCTTGCATATTTTTATGCTACCAAAATTCAGTTCAGTTTCATAAGCATTTAATAGGGACAAGGAGCACAGGAAATTCTAAAATAAACTTTGGGTTGTACAGAGCTTGCTTATAAACTCACAGAATAGGATAACAAACACACATTTTTGATAGCTCACCAGAATGGATACAAATATTACACACACACACACAAACACACCAATTTAAATATGAAAATTTATATTTCTTTTCAATTGTGTACAAAAAGTTATGTATGAAATCTTAGAATGTGGCCAATTTACACAAAAACAACAACTCTATACACACATTCAGATTCCTTATGTATAATGTGTGCATACAATTTCAAAACTACAATACAGTAATAATGCCACTTTTCAAACTATTTTTACACAGTGAAATGAGATTTTTAAAATGTAATCTACCAAGTAACCAAAGAAACAAAGGTACATTTAGCACCACCAAGTGGTCAAAAACCTAACTTGTATTTTGTTAAAACCTAGGCTCACCTTACTAAATGTCTGATTCTGGTTTGCCCAGTATTGTTGGTTCCATTCTTGCGTTTCTTGTCTTAATTTCCTAAGCTGCTGTTCCAATGGAGATTCATTTTCAGGGATGTAAAATTTGATTGGTCGAAGGTTTGAATATCTATCCGGGGGTCCAATCCAATCACTGCAAGATTTTCTGGGTGGGCAGAATCTTGGCACCTTTAAGAAGAAGGAAAGGAATATTAACTAAAAGGAATAATAACTAACGTACATCAACAATAATTTAAATTTAATAAACAAATTGGATTTACCAAACTCCCTCATTAATTTTCTTCTTAAGCTTTAGTGGGCATAAGCAAGGCACAGCATGTTATCTATGATTATCTACATGCAAAGAGTGACATAAAAGATATTATTGAGAACATATGACTACAAAAGGAACAATCCAGTCATATGTCAAGAATAAAAAGCATCAGATAATAAGATGAGGAGCCAAAATGTTACACTACCACTAAATATTAAAAGAACAAAAAGAAGGTCATCAGAGCACCAGGTAAATCCTCCACATAGTATTTATATGAAACCACAGATAAGAATTGCACAAACAGAGAAGACATGGTATAGGGAACACTGTGCTAAGCGCTTTACAATTATTATCTCATTTGATCCTCATGACAACCCTGGGAGATAGGTACCATTATTATGCCCATTTTAGAGTTGAGGAAACTGAGGCCAATAGGTGACTTGCCCAGGGTCACACAGGTAGGAAGTGTCTAAGGCTGGATTGGAACTCAATTCTTCCTGACTCCATGCCCAGCACTCTATTCACTATGCCACCGAGTGACCCTGCTTGAAATAACTGACTCATCAAAATACCAATTAGATGAAAAAATGAAGCAATAGAGAAAAAGCAAGCATGTAAGAGACTCTCTCTTGGTTCTCTTTTTGGTTCTCCTCCAAATATTCAATCAATTTCCAAATCTTGCTTGTTTCATTTTTTTTTTCCTTTTTTTCTTTTTGTTTAGGCAATGGGGTTAAGTGACTTGCCCAGGGTCACACAGCTAGTAAGTGTTATGTGTCTGAGGCCAGATTTGAACTCAGGTCCTCCTGAATCCAGGGCCAGTGCTCTATCCACTGTGCCACCTAGCTGCCCCTGTTTTTCTTTTTTCCTAACAATATCTCTCTCATCTGATCTATTCTCCTTATTCACACAACCACCACCCGAGTTCATCACTTATCACTTATTACTCTGACAGGTTATGACATCTTGAATTGCTGCCCCAAGTTTTTCTCCATTCCCATTAATCCCCCACAAAGGCAACCTGGTCACCATCACCGCCAACCCTTCAACAAATTCCATTGGCTCTTATAAGCTCTATAATCAGATATAAAAAAAAAAAAGTCATAGAGATGCCCAGCTCTTTCCAACAAAGATATAAAAGGGCACCAAAATGAATAGCGATGAAGCAATCTTATGAAAAACCACATTAAGTAGGTCATCAAGCCTAGAATGGCACAAAAAAGAATATCCAGAAACCTGTGGGTATTCACAGAGAGATCTCACCAGGTGGGTCAGAAAAAGCACAGGTAAAGGGAGTGAAAAGCTGCCAGCTCTTACCTGGCTCTTTCTTCTAGAAACTCTAGAACTGAAGATACTATGAACTGAAGATCTAAGGACATTCTAGGGCATAGGTTCTTTTTAAAAAAATTTTTTTTTCCAATTACATGTAAAAATTTTTAACATTTGTTTTCTAAAATTTTGAGTTCCAAATTTTTTCCCTCTCTCCCCTCTCCCCTCACTGAGAAGGCAAGCAATTTGCTATAGGTTAAACGTGCACAGTCATACAAAACATATTTTCATATTAGTCAAGTTGTGAAAGAAAACACAGACCATAAACAAAACAAAACAAGAAAAATAAAGAAAGTGAAAAAAGTATGCTTTGATCTGCATTCAAACCCCATCAATTCTTTCTTTGGAGGTGGATAGTATTTTTCATCATGAGTCCTTTAGAACTGTCTTAGATCACTAGGCTCACCTTACTAAAGTCTTTTTGAACTGTCTTAGATCACTGTATTGCTGAGAATAGCTAAGCCTTGTATTTACAATTGATCATCACACAATGTTGTTGTTACTGTGCACAATGCTCTCCTGGTTCTGGTCATTTCATTTTGCATCAGTTCATTTAAGTCTTTCCAGGTTTTTCTAAGAACATACTGTTCATCATTTCTTATAGCACAATAGTATTCCACCACAATCATATACCAGTTTGTTCAGCGATTCCCCAATTGATGGACGTCCCCTCAATTTCCAATTCTTTGCTACCACAACAAGAGCAGCTATAAATATTTTTGTATATAGAGGTCCTTTTCCTTTTTTTTTTTTTTTAAATCTCTCTGGGTACAGACCTAGTAGTAGTATTGCTGGATCAACAGGTATGCAAAGTTTTATAGCCCTTCGGGTATAGTTCCAAATTGCTCTCCAGAATGGTTAGATCTATTCACAACTCCACTAACAGTGCACTAGTGTCCCAATTTTCCCACATCCCTCCCAATGTTTGTCATTTTCCTTCTCTGTCATATTAGCCAATCTGATAAGTATATGGTGGTACCTCAGAGTTGTTTTAGTTTACATTTCTCTAATCAATAGTGGTTTAGAGCATTTTTTAATATGATTACAGATAGCTTTGATTTTTGTCTGAAAACTATCTATTGATATCCTTTGACCATTTAGCAATTAGAGAATGACTTGTATTCTTATAAATTTGACTCAGGGCAAGGGTTCTTAACCATAATCTGCTACTCTAGGGCAGGGGTTATGGACCCCTCTTGGCAATACTGTAAGGCCTCTAGACTCCTGAGAATAATGTTTTTAAATATATTAAACTATAGAAGATTATAAAGGAAACAAATTAAATAAAAATAAAGATATATTTTTTCCCATCCAAGTTCAAAGATTCCCTGAAATCTATTGATGAATCTTTTATGGGTATTTGGACCACAAGTTAAGATTGGATCACTATCTTTCTGCATGGCTGAGGCGGAATGGAGGAGTAGGCTGTAGGAAATGAATAAATTAAGGAACTAGTAGGTTAGGGTGTTTGAGGGAGTATGTATATTGAAGTCCTGTAGTATGAGGGCAAGCAGTAGGGAGGAAAGACTGTGAGCCAGGCACCAGACTCACCAAGGAAAGAAGGGGAGTGTCTGATGTCAGGAGACAAGAGTTACTGGAATTTTGAGTGATTGGTATATATGGACTGATTGAACATCAAAGGAAGAAAGATTACTGAGTACTAGTGGTAGGTAGAGAACTCATAAGTAGCAATGAGGAGGAAGGAGTATTCCAACTCCCCCATCTCCACCAGTGAGTTAAGGGAATAAGTGAACGTGCAGCCAGTGCTGCGACTTGGAGGCAGCAAGTTCAACCTATAACTGCATAAGAATCCTCTCAATACCATCCTTGACAGGTGGTCATCAAACCTTTGATTGTCAAAAAGTCTTCCCTTACTCTCTGCAACTCTTCAGCGTTGCCTCTCTTCACCTATTGTTCCTAGATCTGTTCTTTGGGGATAGGAAGAACAAATTTAATTTTACTTCCTCATGATAATCCTTCAAATGCTTAATGGCCACCATGATGTCAGACCCTCATCTGGCATGATTTTGAGGTGCTGCACTATTCTGTTTACCTTTTTCAGGATGCACTCCAGCTAGTCAACATCCTTTCTAAAACATGGCACCCAGAACTAAACACAAAACTATAGACATGGTCTGATCAGAGTAAAATATAGACTATTTCTTGCCTCTCTGGACACAATTCTGGACTCAAAATACTATTAGTTTTTTTGGTTATCATACTCGAGTGTTGATTCACATACTAAACTTGCAGTTTATGAAAAGATCAAGTTTTTTTCAAGTTGAACAGCTCTTTTTGCCATGATTCCTTCTTCTTCTCATCGTGCTCCCCCCCAACAACTAGTACTTGGAAAGCTAATTTTTTGAGCCTCATTATGTTTTATCTTTCTTAATTTTTCCCCATGTTCATGAGATCTTGTTGGACTCTGACTCTGTCATCCAATATGTTATTCACCTCCCAGATTTATGCTAGGTACAAAATTTGATAGGCATGTTTTCTATGCCATTTTTCAAGTTACAGAAAAAAAAAAAAGCTTAACTAGCATAGACCTCAGAACTACTCTATAGGTCTAGTCATTCAACAAAATCTGAATCCATCTATTTGTAGGTAACGATTTTTATCTTGTCCACAAGGACAGCATGGGAGGCTTGGTCCAAACCTGAAGATAGCTAAGATAGCAAGGCAGAGTCAAGATCCAAAAAACATCTCAACTAGCTAGAATGATGGACTAAATCAAATAAGGTCAAGAAGCGTCATGGTGCAGTTAAAAGAATGCTGGATTTGCAGTCACAAGACCTGGGTTTGAACCTTGCTTCTGCCACTATGTGAGATCTTAGAAAGGTCACTTTCACCTCTGGGCCTGAAATTTCTTGTTTGTAAAACAAGGGTTATGGACTAGATGACATTCCAGCTCTAAAATCTATGATCCAAAGATATAATTTAATAGAGGAAAAATAAAGTCCTACCCTTTTTTAATCACATTTATAAATATGAGATAAATGAGTCACCCACTGATGTAAAAAAAAATGAGGGATTTTAGGGGACTGCAAGTTTAATATAAGTTAATGGTGTGATAGGGCAGTTACAAAGCCCTACTTTGATGCCTTATTGTGGTGTGGACAGAATGTATACTCCTGCATACACTGAAGGGCTTTGTGTATGACCCCACAAACCAAGTGAGTTTGTTTTTTGAGGAGCAAACTAGCTAATTAGAGGCTGGCCACCTGATAATTTTTTTTTTTTTTACCATGGCAACCTATGAAATAAAGAAAAATTTTAAATGGTACTCTATGGCTTCTACAATGACAATCAGGAAAGGGCGCAGAAGGTGCTAAAAGAATCACACCCCACAATTTGTTGGGTATGTTATGGTACAGATTCCTTTTGTATATGGGTTTTGTATATGGGAGATGGCCTCCCTTCCAACTCTCAAATTCTGTGATTCTGTTATAGAAAGATTGCATATGTGCAAAATATCTACAGCATCAGTTTTTACAGTAGCAAAGATTATAAGCAAAGTAGGTGCCTGCCAACAGGGAAATTGCTAAATAAATGTGGGTATACAAATCTAATGGTATATTATTTTACT